AAGGGCCTCCCCTAAACGGTTGCCACAAAGTTGAAATCACAGAATTGTCTAGAATGTAATTAATTGTATGCTGTAGCGTTAAGATTTCCCTTCTCTCGAACTAAGGGGCCTAGCCCGAACCAGGTAAAAACAGCCCCAGACCATTATTCCTCCTCGACCAAACTGCACTATGCATTGGGACAGGTAGCACTCTCCTGGTATCCACCAAACCCAGATTTGGCCGTCCGACGGCCAGATGGCGAAGCGTGATTCATCACTCCAGAGCACATGTTTTACACCACTCCAGCCAACGTTTGGCATTGCGCATGGTGATCTTAGGCTTGTCTGCGGCTGTTTGGCCAAGGAAACCCATTTCACAAAGCTCCCGACGAACAGTTCTTGTGCTGACGTTGCTTCCAGAGGCAGTTTGGAACTCGGTAGTGAGTGTTGCAACCGAGGACAGACTATTTTTACACTCGGCAGCCAACTAATCCAATCTGGCTGGCTGACTGGTACTATCTGGCCAAAAAAGTGGCGCACCACAAAAACAGGGAAGATCAGATAAAGGATTGCTTGTCTAGAAATCAAATTGGGAGGTCTTGCAAGACAACTGGAGCACTGGGCCAGCCACTCTTAAATAGCACCTGGGCCAGCTCAGGTGAAACACGTTCCCTCTAATGAGATGACCAACCAGCACAGGTGTAATACAGACTGACTAACCAGATGACACCAATCGGTGCGCCCCACCCGCTAACATCCAAACTCAAAATATAAAAACCAAATCCTGTAACACTGGTGATTTTGCTACTCTCAAGCGTGTCTGTTTTTTAAAATGTAATGTGCAATATCTGTGTAGACTGAATTTGTAATACATGTTTGTCATTTTTCTGCATAACATTCTATTCTCTTCCCAACAGCAGAAATATATGTTGGTAGGACAAGGCTATGTATGTGCACATGGAAGTCAGTGATTTATGTTTACTATAGGTTAATGAGGCAATACAAATGTGATGTGACTAAAATGGCCCACTATTTTCATCATTTTGAAATTAACTACACTAAATTATTATTCAAATGACAAAAACGTGACTAAGACTTAATACTAATGGTTTTCTTTGAGACTGTGGTCCCAGCTCTCTTCAGGTCATTGACCAGGTCCTGCCGTGTAGTTCTGGGCTGATCCCTCACCTTGCTCATGATCATGGATGCCCCACAAGGTGAGATCTTGCATGGAGCCCCAGACCAAGGGTGATTGACCGTCATCTTGAACTTCTTCCATTTTCTAATAATTGCGCCAACAGTTGTTGCCTTCTCACCAAGCTGCTTGCCTATTATCCTGTAGCCCATCCCAGCCTTGTGCAGGTCTACAATTTTATCCCTGATGTCCTTACACAGCTCTCTGGTCTTGCCATTGTGGAGAGGTTGGAGTCTGTTTGATTGTGTGGACAGGTGTCTTTTATACAGGTAACGAGTTCAAACAGGTGCAGTTAATACAGGTAATGAGTGGAGAACAGGATGGCTTCTTAAAGAAAAACTAACAGGTCTGTGAGAGCTGGAATTCTTACTGGTTGGTAGGTGATCAAATAATTATGTCATGCAAATATTTTAGTCATTATGACTAAGACTAGATTACATCAACAAAAAAAGTGCTTGACTGGTTCAGGCTAGGCCCCTTTTGGTCATGTAGTGTATATTGCCAGTGCCAACATTTCATACTGCAAAATGTTGGCACTGGCAATATATCGTATGTCTAACAGACACCGTCCATTTCCAATATATTTAAGCAGTGATTTACCATCACCAAATTGACAGGCTGAAATCAACACCAATGAGCGAGTGAGAGGAATCACCACCACTGCTAGGCCCTCCCGAGTTCAACAAGCCAGACAATTGGGCATTTCAGCAATGTAACAGCATGTCCAATTAGTGATGGTAAATGGCCATTGTAATATATTGCTAATGGACAGTGTCCATTACACATATGATATATTGCCAGTGTCAACATGTTATACTGCAATTGGGACAGTGTCCATTGCCAATATATTTGAACAGGGTATTTACCATCACAAAATAAACAGACTGAAATTACCACTTAAGAGTGAGGGAGAGGAAACACTGACTCATACTGTATATTGCTAATGGACATGTTGTGTGAAGTTGCTGGATATTGGTGGGAACTGGAACACGCTGTCGTATGCGTCGACCCAGAGCATCCAAACATGCTCAATGGGTGACATGTCTGGTGAGTATGCAGGCCATGGAAGAACTGGGACATTTTCAGCTTCTAGGAATTGTATACAGATCCTTGCAACGTGGGGCCGTGCATTATTATGCTGAAACATGAGGTGATGGCGGCGGATGAATGGCCTCAGGATCTTGTCACGGTATCTCAGTGGATTCAAATTGCCATAGAGAAATGCAATTGTGTTCGTTGTCCGTAGCTTATGTCTGCCCATACCATAACCCCACCACGGGGGCACTCTGTTCACAACGTTGACGTCAACAAACCGCTCTCCCACGCGAAGCCATACACTTTGTCTGCAGTCGTGAGGCCGGTTGGACATACTGCCAAATTCTTTAAAACAACGTTGTAGGTGGCTTATGGTAGAGAAATTAACTTTCAATTCTCTGGCAACAGCTCTGGAGGACATTCCTGCAGTCAGCATGCTAATTGCACACAGTGTTGTCACAAAACTGCACATTTTAGTGGCCTTTTGTTGTCCCCAGGACAAGGTGCACCTGTGTGATATGCCACACCTGTCAGGTGGATGGATTATCTTGGCAAAGGAGAAATGCTCAATAACAGGGAGGTAAACAAATTTGGGCACAACATTTGAGAGAAACAAGCCTTTTGTGTGTATGGAACATTTACGGGATCTTTTATTTCAGCTCATAAAACATGGGACCAACACTTTACATGTTGCGTTTATATTTTTGTTCAGTCCCTTTAACTGCATGTCCAATTCGTGATGGTAAATGCCCATTGCAATATATTGCCAATGGACAGTTTTCATTAGACATTATATATTGCCAGTGCCAACATTTCATACTGCAAATGTTGGCACTAGCAACATATGTCTAATGGACACTGTCCATTTCCAATATATTTAAGCAGTGATTTACCATCACTAATTTGAAAGGCTGAAATCAACACCAAAGAGCGAGGGAGAGGCACCACTAGCTCTGAGAGCCATCCCGAGTTCAACGACGACTGGGCATCACAGCAATGTACCTGAATGTCCAATTTAGGATGGTAAATTCCCATTGTAATATATTGCTAATGAAGAGTGTCCATTACCACATGATATATTGCCAGCGTCAACCTGTTATACTGCAATTGGACAGTGTCCATTGCATGCATATATATGGGGATTTCCAGTCACAAAAAGGACAGGTTGAATTGTGCAGGCCATATCCCCTGTAGCTCAGTTGGTAGAGCATGGCGCTTGCAACGCCAGGGTTGTGGGTTCGTTTCCCACGGGGGGCCAGTATGAAAATATATGCACTCACTAAGTCGCTCCGGATAAGAGCGTCTGCTAAATGACTAAAATATCTCAGTGCTTGAACATAGCAGTTCATTTGGAATGTTGATTCACTACTTTGAAATTAAAAGTCTGACTTCCTGACTTAATACCAAATAAACATCTACTTAAAGAGTAAAAAACTAAGTGAAGTTAAATGTATACACAGTCGTGGTTTATAGCCTGGTAAATAACATTGCACAGGTAGTTACACACTTAGAGGGTTAGGTACAAGCCAGAGAGCAGTTTCTCTGATATGAGTCAGATTGGGTACCAAAGAGAAGTTACATGTTTAAGCGGATACTGTCAAAGTAATCAGATGTAGTGTTCAACAATAGTGCTGTCCGTCACAGGTTCATCTTGAGACAATGTCAGGTAAAAATTAACATAGTCAGTTGTAAAAAATGATGACATTAAAGAGTACACATTGTCTGTTCATTAGCTAGTTAAGTTCCAGTGTCAGTGAACAGAAGCATCTATAGTTGAGTGCTTCTGCTGAGAATGAGAGAAAAGCTACATACCATTGCTAGCTTGAAACCTTATTTCCCTACAGGATTACACAATGACAACATCCAGTGAGGCCAGTTTGCCCACGCATATCAATTAAATGGGAATCAATAACCCCACATTCTGGTTCTCACAAGCACCAGCGTTTCCTACATTCACATCAGTCTAAAGTGGTGTGTGCAATCAATTATATTCTTAAAACACCCAGTTTCACTCTTTAGAGGGGATAAATTAAAAGTTAAAAAATACACAAAATGTAGTCCATCAGAAAATCTAGTCAATCATTCAAAGATTAAATTCCCATATTACAGCTTGAAACAAAAGCTTGTTCAATAGTCTGTGCGAATACTTCCAGTAAAATGGTCATGACATAAAAGAGGACCATATCTGCTAGTCTTTCAGAACTTCTGCCATTACATGTGAACATCATACCTCTCCTAGCAGGAATTTGATACAAAAGTGCAGTCTTTAAAAGTAGATAGGGTAACAGATTCAGGGACATTTTTCTAGTTTCTCACAAGGCAATGAACTGAACCATTATGAAAAGGGAGGAAAAGTGCTTTTATGTACACTGTGTACCCTTGCTGCACATTATTATACAGACTAACAACTACATAAAATGCTGAGGTTAATTTTGAACAAAACAAAAATACATGTCTAGAAAGCTATTCTTCCTGCTCTTCAAATCAAGTAGATGATACAGCTTGAAAGAAAAGTCTAAACACATTCACAGAAATAAAAAGAGGTCATGACTATGTGTGCAGAGAAAAAGTGTTCCTTTATATCGTAGAGGTATTATTGAGCTCTTCTAGATCAGGGGTGACAAACTCATTTTGCCCCGGGGACGCAGTCGGTCTTCAACAACATTTCCTCTCCATCAAAATGCGCAAAGGTTTGTCCTCCATCCTTGTTTTTGGAATTTGATGCTCCCCCACTGTCTAGCTTTCATTTAGGTGATTATTAGCGAGCTGGACAGTCAAGAAACTATATGAATGTAGGTCCATTATCATTTCTACAGTTTCAAATTTGGTTTTAGCCATTTAAAAGTATATTGAGTTTTTTAAAATTAATCCAGATTCAGATGACACCCCTGTTCTAGCGCTTCACCAGTCTCTCTCACCATGTACATTTAAAAGTGTCAGAGACACAGCACAAGCCACAATATCCAAATGACATGGGCACAAATGAATACAAATAGTACAAATTCACCATGATCCCAACCCATAGGCATCTCTTATTAGTGTTTCCATGTCATAGTCGCAGTAAGAGGATAATATCTATTTAGCCTGACAGTGGACCGGACAATAAGGGTGAAAATATATCAAAAGTAGTAGGAGGGGAAGGTAAAGACCCCTACCCTATTGACAGCATAAATCATCCCTTTCCATCTTCGTCATCACTGTGGCCTTCCAAAGCATTGATTCTCATAATGTCCTAATCTAAACCTTTAGAAAACATAATACATTATAGCTAAAAACATTGTCTAAGAAATCTATGACAAAGGATTAGTTGCTCAGCTTCTTTCTATCCACTTCATGTTCCTTCATTCCAGCTCTCATTTAGACCCATTTCTCTCATCTTTGTTCAAATGAGTCCTAACAGCTTTGAATGCACTTGAAGGTGCAGTAAGTAGCTCTGCATCGCTGATGCTCCAGAAGATCCTGTACCAGGAATGACCAGCAGGGGGCAGCAGCAGCAATCTTCACAAAACACCCAGAGGAGACGTCAAGGCATCAGAGCAGTGAGTAGGAGTGTGGAAGAAATGAACACTCAGATATAGACAATGTCTTGCCTCCTTTACATTCCTCATCTCCACTCTCCTCAGCACATCCTCCCCCAGGGTGGATATGTCTTATCTGGGCTGGTGGCGGGCTGCGAGGCCTCTCCTGGCGTGGGTGGACTGCCTCTGCTGGGCCAGAAAGGACTGGGCCTGGTTGGACGGACCCGACCGCTCCCCCACCACCTTCTGATGCAGGGCCATACCCTGGGAGAGAGGAATAGAGACATAAGAAAGGTAAATGTCTTACTACCAGAAAAACCAAGACCATTATACAAGTCATTGCACTGCTTGCATTGTAGCACCATATAATGCCAACTGCTTTAATAATTTACTATGTAGATTAGGCACATTCGGACAGAGGTTTGCTTACTCACCATGTTGTACCAGGCACTTATGATGAGTTTCTCCTCCTGGTCATGACTGGACCTGCTCTTCTCATAGTCATGCTGCACACAGAGGAGTTGTTCATGCATATGGAGGGTCAGACAATGCACCACTCATCTGCATTCTCTCAGTCAATGAAGGGTGGCGCTTACCTCCAGGTGCTGGATCTTCCGGTCTCTCTCAGTCAACTGGTTCTTGAGGGCCTGGACGTCAGGGGACACAGTCAGAGGCGGCTGCTTGGGGTCCAGAGTCTTGATCACCTGCACAATGAACACATACACACACATATACCTGGTGTGGAATTTCTCAGCAGCTGTCAAAGGACACCAGAAACAAAATTGTAGACCTGCACCAGGCTGGGAAGACTGAATCTGCAATAGGTAAGCAGCTTGGTTTGAAGAAATCAACTGTGGGAGCAATTATTAGGAAATGGAAGACATACAAGACCACTGATAATCTCCCTCGATCTGGGGCTCCACGCAAGATCTCACCCCGTGGGGTCAAAATGATCACAAGAACGGTGAGCAAAAAGCCCAGAACCACACGGGGGGACCTAGTGAATGACCTGCAGAGAGCTTGGACCAAAGTAACAAAGCCTACCATCAGTAACACACTACGCCTTCAGGGACTCAAATCCTGCAGTGCCAGACGTGTCCCCCTGCTTAAGCCAGTACATGTCCAGGCCCGTCTGAAGTTTGCTAGAGTGCATTTGGATGATCCAGAAGAGGATTGGGAGAATGTCATATGGTCAGATGAAACCAAAATAGAACATTTTGGTAAAAACTCAACTCGTCGTGTTTGGAGGACAAAGAATGCTGAGTTGCATCCAAAGAACACCATACCTACTGTGAAGCATGGGGGTGGAAACATCATGCTTTGGGGCTGTTTTTCTGCAAATTGACCAGGACGACTGATCCGTGTAAAGGAAAGAATGAATGGGGCCATGTATCGTGAGATTTTGACGGAAAACCTCCTTCCATCAGCAAGGGCATTGAAGATGAAACGTGGCTGGGTCTTTCAGCATGACAATGATCCCAAACACACCGCCCGGGCAACGAAGGAGTGGCTTCGTAAGAAGCATTTCAAGGTCCTGGAGTGGCCTAGCCAGTCTCCAGATCTCAACCCCATAGAACATCTTTGGAGGGAGTTGAAAGTCCGTGTTGCCCAGCGACAGCCCCAAAACATCACTGCTCTAGAGGAGATCTGCATGAAGGAATGGGCCAAAATACCAGCAACAGTGTGTGAAAACCTTGTGAAGACTTACAGAAAATGTTTGACCTGTGTCATTGCCAACAAAGGGTATATAAGAAAGTCATGTCACGATGTGCATGACAATCTTTTACGATATCGGCAACTCAGATTTAAGATGGCAGCCAAGCACTGTTGTGCTGTACAGATGAGTTTAGTGTCAGGCAGAGTGTTGACTGACCGTCCTGGCCTTCTCCACATAGCGCTTGTAGCGGTCCTCCATCAGCTTCATGTCCTCATCCTTCTTCTTCAGGATCTCCTGCAGCTCATCGATCTTCTTCGCCACTGACAGGAGGGAGGTTGAAGAGGAAATATTAACAGCATTTTCAGAGCTTGAAAGTGCTCTTAGATTGATACTATTTGATAGCACTGCTCCCAAGGGCAGGAAATAAGAGGCTGCTTACTGTTGCCGTCCGCTTTGGGCTCCAGGTCATCAATGACCTCTCTCTTCTTCTGCAGGTCTGAGTGGGCCTCATGGAGCTTCTCCCTGGCAGGAGGACAGAGGAAAAGCATGGAGGAGCCGGACGTGCAAGAATCTACAGAGCGATAATAATATTCCCTTCACAGGTGCAGTGTACAAGCATCAGTGATAATAGTACTCACAGGTGCTCCTCAAGCTTCTTCTTCAGTAAGGAGGACTGAACAGGGAGGAAGAAAGTAAGTCAACACTCAAACTACTGAGAAACAGACTTCTGACAGACAGACACAAATAATAAGCATAATACACAATTGAAGTAGTCAAAGTCAAATCAGAACCCAGGCAGGGATGGGCCATACTTACGATGGCCTGATTGGCAGAATGTCGGTCGGTGGGGGCAGGCAGAGAGAGACAGAGGGGCAGGCGTTAATGGTGAATCAACACAGCAAACAAGGGTTAATGTTCCCACACAAAATCTCAGAGAGCACAGTCACAGGCAGGCAGTCAACGGAGGGGAGAGAAGGATACACTCTACAACAGTCCTCAAGGGCCAAGGACTATATTGAGGTCTAGGTCTCTTTTTTCCAATTATAATGACTACAAATTACCTAAAATGATTAAAAACAGAGAACAAAATATATATTTGAATTAAGACCCATAGATGGTAAACCGATTAAGAGAGATTGGTCATTTCCATTCCTGATTCCTATACATTTTCAGTATACTATCGTCTTTGATTGGAGAAGACTGGGTCCACTCAGTGATTGGTATGGACAAGGTAACAGGAGTAAGAGGATGTTAGGGGAGGAGAGGAGGGGTAAATGAGGAGGAGGGTCTGTCTCTCCACTCACATCCTCAGCCTTGCTGCCCTGCTCCTGAAGAGCCTTCTGGAGATCCTCCACCTGGGACCGCAGCTCAGAGATCTGCTGCTGGTTCAACCTGGAGAGATGAGAGAGATGGAACAAAGAGAGGAATGGATAAGAAAAGTAGGAGGGAGAGCAGGGGAAGGGAAGAGAGAATGAAGAAACCATTAAGCTGGTTATGATGTGAGTGGGTGGAAGAGGCTGGCGATGCATACAAGGTCACATCAACCGCTGCATTAATCCATTCTAGCAGTGTCCCGCCCACCCACTCCCCTCTCCTCTCTGTGTGTTGTGGTTAATTAGGGGAAGATTGAGCCACTTCAGCCATACTCGTACTCCACAGATCAGGACGCTCTCCTCCTCCTCCTCCTCCTGCTGAAGATGCCTGCCTGCCTCCCACACTCTGGACCCATCGTCACACACGGTCCACTCAGAAAAACAGCCCCCACACACGCTGTACGGACAGCTGGGGGACAATCTGGCCCATTGCTGTCCATCCTCCGCTCCGGCCCACACAACACAACACAACTCAACACACAGACCAGAGGGTGAGCTGACATTTAGCTAGATCACTCCTCCTTTTAGCCAAATGTGAAACTCAAACAGAAACTCTGGCAATATATACTGTGACTAATATTGGCACTGATTGACCTTGATACATACATTCAAATCACAATGTGCAGAACTAAAAACACTTCATTTTACTTTTGTGGATGAGATGCAGTGGTATTCGTATAGATGATTATAATTTTTTACGCATGGCTACACACACACCTGTTTTGTGTCTCCAGGGTGTTCTGGCTGCGTTGAGACTCCTCCAGCTGACCCTGTATCTCCACCAGTCTCTGTCTGTAGCTCTCCTCCTGGACACACAGCATCTTGTTCTCACTCTGCAGACGCACCACCGTCTCCCTGTGGAGGAAGCAGAAGGGATGGGGTCACAGAGAGAAGGCAGGGAAGTGGGGCAGAGAGGCAAAGGTCTGTACACTACACACCAAAATAACTATTCAACTCCGCCTCAGCCAATTTAACAGCAGTGCCATCTGACTGGGAGCCATTCTATTCATGGAGCCAATGGCACATTCTGGTTCTAAAAATAGAGTGTGGCTGAGGAATAAGATCTTTGCCATTTGTCACAGCTGAACACTAGGGTTGGGCGGTATCCAGATTTCCATACATTCATATAGTTCCTGAACCATACCGGGTTTACGGTATTAACGGCAGTGCACACAAAGGGCATAATTTCTGTCCAAACGCTTACAAATGCTAACAAAGCACTAGCGAATTCCCATAGCGGACGCTAGCTAAATGCTAACAAGCGCAAGCAAACAAGCCTACAGTTGAAAATGTATATGGGGCACATTGATGAGCAATTGAATTCTGAACCACTGTATGTCTATTGATAGGTCAGATAGATAACACATAACAGAGAAGCGATCACGTTCACGTGTACACACTCTCACATACTTGAACTCTGTGGGCATCATCTCAGAGGCCAGGTTTCCCAATGTGCCAGAGTCCTCACATAATCCACCTGAATGGGAGAGAGAGAGCCAAGATGTCAGGTGAAAATATATCACATTTGCTTTGACAGTAGTCTTATCAACTGCCACAAAAGGACCAAAAAAAAACCTGCACCATCTTGTTATTTAGAAAAACTGAGGATTCAGGGTGTTAGTTGTGTTCAATGGACTCACCTGGTTGATTGAGGCCCTTCTGTTGGACCTGTGCACACCTGAGCTCATCATTGGTTTCCCGCAGTGTGTCTCGCTCTGAGATCAAACGCTGGAAAACACATTGGGATAACATTAGATTGCACTCAATGTGATACTACTATAAGTGTTCAAAGTGACTGCCTCAGAATTTCACAGATTTTAAATCCATATCCACTTTGACGACATGCCCTTGTAAGTAATACATCTTTGTCTGGAGAGGAGTTGTCGCAGGTCCTCTCTCTCACCTCTTTCTCCTTGAGCAGGGCATCATACTTGTCGTGAAGGTTATTGTACTCAAACTGCCACTTCTCAGCCTTCAGTGCCTCTGATGAATGCTTGGTGTGAAGCTCATGGACCTGACAGCAGGGAGTCAAACACATTCAGGGTCTGAAGAGAGTTCATAGCATCCTATGTCATACACACATCCATCGCCACACCTTTGTTAACCCTCCCCCATTCTCTAGCCCTCTCTGCCCACCTGTCTCTTGTATGTGTCCAGCTGGGTGCGGACTGAGTTGGCCCTGCGTAGCTCCTCCTCCAGCTCGCATGTGCGCTGCATGTAGACAGTGTTGCGCTCCTCCAGCAGACGCACCTGTCTGCGCAGGTCCCCCAGGTCCTCCAGCTTACGCTTGTACATCTCCACCAGTGCCTCCAGCCGGCTCACCCGGTCAGACGAGTGCCTGTGGGAGGTGAGAGGGTGAGATGGGGAAGCCGTTTTGAGGATGGGGCAAGAGGAAAGGGAAGGAGAGAAGGATAGGAGACAACAGACTACTGAGAGGCTGCTCTCCCCCTGGGCTCACCGGAGGATGTCCATCTCATCTTTGAGGGTCTGGGCCTCCTGGGCGAGGCTGGTCAGCTCCTCGTTGCGGTGAGTGATGTCCAAAACCTCACGCTCCAGGATCTCCCCTCGCACACGCATGTCATCTCGGCTGTTCTCTAGTCTGTGTCACAAACAGGGGGCAAATAGAAAATGATCAATTAATTGTATCAAAAGAGTACAGGTACAGAGTAGAATGTATTTAGTCTGGAGGTCTGTGTTGAGGGCATGACTCTGACCTGTAGTTCTCCTCCTGTAGCTGCTCCATCTGGCTCTGTAGCAGCAGCAGCTTCTTGCCAGTGATGGTGGTGGAAGCGTCCTGTGGCTCACAGCGGCTGAGCTTCTCCCTAAGGGAATGTGTCTCCACCTGCAGGGACGACTTCTCCTCCAGGACGGCTGCCAACTGAGGATCAAACACACACAGATATAGTCAGGGGTGGAGAGGGCACAGAGAGAGAACCAGACACACATGGCATGTAACCAAGGCTAGAGAGGGAGGAGACCTAGAGACAAACGAACAAACAGTCACACATTGAGACATAGAAAGTGCGGAGCACAGATTTTAAAAAAGACACATTCTTCAAAATGCCGAACACTGCCCCCCCCCAAAAAAACCTCATTTACTCATGAAAATGCTGAACACAAAAAAGACATTCCACAAGTGGCAAAGAAAAGAGCCACACTCGCATATCCAGCAACAGACACTGCACATTTCTTGCAACACATGCAATGTTGTTGTTTTTTTTAATGAGGGTTTGGTGGTAACTTCACATGCACAAACATCAAAGCACAGTTAGTCAGCTGGTCTGCTATGTTCTCAGTCGGGTGGGCCACTTTCTCAATGGAGCAGTTGTTAGCATTACCCCTCCAAGGTCACAACCAGGCGCTCATGACAGAAATTACTAGAAAAACAGAGGTCTGAGACAGTCTGACTAACTGTTACAAAGTGGGGAGACTGGAGAGTGGGTTCAGAAAGGGATGTTGATTAAGGATTCAAGCTAGTGAGGCTTGATGAGAGAAAGAGGAACTATCCTTGGGGTTATCATACATGGACAAGAATGTTGTTTGGTGGTTTAGGGTAAAACGTCCACCCTGACTATGTTTATGTGGGTTAGGCAAGCGGGCATTCCAATATTAAAAAGGGGGTATCTATTACTTACCCGTTGGACATCTTTCCAGTTTGAGCACAGCAAAACCCTACACTGAACTTTAAGGACAAATGGCTTGCTTTAGCATCATACCAGGGAGAAAGTAAAGAACTACAAAAACTACTGAGAAATTCTTAATGTGTTGAATATGTTAACATATTAAGAAATGTGCTGAATGCATAACACAGTGGTAATTGCCTTCAAATCCTAAATACTAAGCTAAATGCAATGTAATTATTGGGGATCAATGACTTAAGTATATGTACCCAATGACATTGCCTAATCAGAGGCAGCATTAGTAGCACAGTTAGCACCGTTTCATAGAGAATAATAGAGGACTCTAGTACCCAAAAGGCCTATTTTAGCATGTACAGCGCCATTGAGAAGTTTCACAATTTTGAAGTAGTCAACTAGGTGGGACTTCATATGGGTTAAGGAAGGATCACATAATTCCATCCAGGACATCAGGAGGGATCAGCCAATTAATTATATTTGTGAGCAAACATTCCATAACTGCAGGTGGCAGTACATCGCCAATCTTGGCTTTATACCTGTTCAAACAACACACTCCAGGTGGCAGTATGCACCCGCTCAGTTTGTTTACTAACTCATAGAAATAGTAGAAGAAAATTGACTACTTCAAAATCAGTGGAGGCTGGTGTGAGGAGGTATAGGAGGACAGGCTCATTGTAATGGAATAAATGGAACGGTATCAAACACAAACATATGGAAACCACATGTTTGACTCTGTTCCTTTTATTCCATAACAGCCATTACAATGAACCCATCCTCCTATAGTTCCTCCCACCAGCCTCCACTCTTCAAAATGGAGTTGGCCCCAATGGTGCTGCCCGTGCACTCAGAGACGCCATAATGGGACAGATACAAAGAAGAGTCCTCCATCACTCTCTATGCACATTTTACACAACAAACCATCAGGAGGAATCAGTCAGACTGGACAACAATCCTTAGCCAAGCGAATAAATAGGATCAATTCACTCATGGCAAAGAGCTGCAGTTACACACTCCGCATGCTAACTAACAAACAGTCCTCTCTGCCCACCTGGTGCTCCAGGTCCCGACAGCGCTGGCCCAGATCCTCCTTCGCTTCCACCTCCTCACTGAGAAAATAATACTTCCTGGACTGGAGACACAGAGAGAGGCACAAGGGAGGTTATAGACAGCACAGAGGGAGCTAGAGAACACGAAAGGGGGGAGAGAGAGAGAGAGAGAGACCACAAAAGACATGTAAATGAGATAGCAATTGAAGAATAGAGACAAAACCAACTTGCAGGGGAGTGAAAGTTCCATATATTCAGAGAAGCAGGGTAAAAAGAGAGCGGGTCCCACCTGGTAGTCAAAGTCCCCATAGGTCTCAGGACTTCCTGGAACAGTTGGCTCTTTAGCTAGGAGCTACACCACAACAACAAAATACAGTCAATGGCTGGTTCAAACTCCAGAAAGACAGATCACATGGTGAAACCCATTGTCAATATAGAGGTAAGCAGGACAATAATGGAGCTATTGCCTGTTTTATAGTGTATATTTCTATTAAATATCGAAAAGGTTTCAGGGAGCAATGAATTGTGCTTTTAGGTGCAATCTCACAAGAGGACAGACAGATCTACAAAAGAAAATGTCCAAAAGGCTTTGACCACTCACCTCCTGTATGGCTGTCATGACGACGTGCTGGACGGACTCCTCCAGGGTCATAATCTGCTGGATTTGCTCTATGAGAAAAAACATCATACAGGAAGTGTCCACTGAATATCACGTCCACATCTGACAGCCAGACACTCAAACACACTGCTTTACACACAGTGCAACGGTTTCTCCTGCATTCACATATCAGACCCACTAGCTTGTTCCTCTGAGGATCACATTGTCTTTTAAAACTCTGTTTTATCATAATCTGTATACAGTACATGGTTGGGGCTTTGTAGGAACAAACCAGTGAATGCTCAGTTTATCAACTCATGTGACAATCAGGTCATTGCATTAACCTGTGGCTAACTACAGACATTTGTTTTCATTTGTTATGATTTAACTCCAGTTAATCCTGCATTTTCTCCATAGGTGGCTTCCTGTTACCCAGCAGGGCCTTCTCTATCCCAGCTAGCTCACCTTGCTTCTTCTCACAGCTGACAGCACAGCCAAGCACCAGCTGAACCAGCTTGCCAAGTTCAGTCACATCTCCAAACTCCCCAATCAGATTGATGTCTGGCAGGTGCTTGTCTGCTACCTGGTGGCCAAGCACCTGTTCATGGAGGGATGGAGACAATGGGGGATTGTGAGAAAATATATGCATATAGCAATGACATTTCAAATGGACTAAGATAGGTGGAAACACTGAGGAACTTCTGGAGGAGATTGAGCTCATAAAAGAAAATGCAGGAAACGTGCATATACCATCCATCCCTTCCTTCTGATCATCAATGAGGAAAAGCCTTTACTCACATCATGGTAGTACTCAAGCATGCTCTGAAGAATCTTCTTCAGGTTGCTGACCTGGAGGAACATGAAATAAATCTGAGCTGGAGAATAAAGGCATCTTTGCCTTGGTGAAAATACACCATCTTTAACAGTGAGGCCAGTGGTCACTAAGTTGCCTAGGTGACAACCTAGAGGCACTGTGTCATATCCTTCTGTCTCATACTGCACCTTGAGGCGCCAGTTGGTCCCCACTCTCCTCCTTGATCCTGCCCAGCCATGCCTCATTAAACCAGGAGGGGTCTCTGTTAACGAGATGAAACACTTAACAAGACATATTCTAGGGACATTCAATACACAGGAAGCCACAGGCAAGAGTATTTCTAAACTGGAAAATGCAAACTCCCTAATGTCATACTCTCAATGAATGTCACAACAAGCAAGCCATCATTGGAAACTTGCTTGAGGCCAGATATGGAGTTATCATATAAAGACAGGCATCATAGAATTTCCATTACCCAATTCAACTAGCCTTCAGATAAAAACACTGCTTGTTTCCAGTTCGACACAAAAACAGATACATTTCTGTGTGGTGTGGTGTGTGTGGACAGAAAGGCACACATATACTACAGCAGATGAGGTATGAAAGTCATTTGGCTTGGACAGACAGTACCCTAAAATGGACAAGCCTTTGCACAAAATCACACCTAGGCACAATCTGCCAGACCAAGGCCTTGAGAAATGTAGACCTATTCCCTATCAAGCGTAGGAATATAAATAAAACAGACTAACAGCCCATCCGCTAACTTTACAAAAAGGCTTTTGAATAGATGATTGAATTTGCTCTGATCAGGCTCTATTCAAAGTGGTTAACTGAAGGCCCAAATCAAAATGTCAGTGTGCAACTAACAAGAAATCCCGCTATGCCCTCCGACGAACCATCAAACAGGCAAAGAGTCAATACAGGACTAAGATTGAATCGTACTACACTGGCTCTGACTCTCGTCGGATGTGGCAGGGCTTGAAAACTATTACAGACTACAAAGGGAAGCACAGCCGTGAGCTGCCCTGTGACACAAGCCTACCAGACGAGCTAAACCACTTCTATGCTCGCTTCGAGGCAAGCAACACTGAAGCATGCATGAGCGCATCAGCTGTTACGGATGACTATGTGATCACGCTCTCCGTAGCCGATGTGAGTGAGACTTTTAAGCAGGTCAACATTCACAAGGCCGCAGGGCCAGACAAATTACCAGGACGTGTACTCCGAGCATGTGCTGACCAACTGGCAAGTGTCTTCACTGACATTTTCAACATGTCCCTGACTGAGTCTGTAATACCAACATGTTTCATGCAGACCACCATAGTCCCTGTGCCCAAGGACACTAAGATAACCTGCCTAAATGACTACCGACCCGTAGCACTCACGTCTGTAGCCATGAAGTGCTTTGAAAGGCTGCTCATGGCTCACATCAACACCATTATCCCAGAAACCCTAGACCCACTCCAATTTGCATACCGCCCCAACAGATCCACAGATGATGCAATCTCTATTGCACTCCACACTGCCCTTTCCCACATGGACAAGAGGAACACCTACGTAAGAATGCTATTCATTGATTACAGCTCAGCTTTCAACACCATAGTGCCCTCAAAGCTCATCACTAAGCTAAGGACCCTGGGACTAAACACCTCCCTCTGCAACTGGATCCTGGACTTCCTGACGGGCCGCCCCCAGGTGGTAAGGGTAGGTAACAACACATCTGCCACGCTGATCCTCAACACGGGGGCCCCTCAGGGGTGCGTGCTCAGTCCCCTCCTGTACTCCCTGTTCACCCATGACTGCATGGCCAGGCACGACTCCAACACCATCATTAAGTTTGCCGACGACACAACAGTGGTAGGCCTGATCACCGACAACGATGAGACAGCCTATAGGGAGGAGGTCAGAGACCTGGCCGTGTGGTGCCAGGATAACAACCTCTCCCTCAACGTGACCAAGACAAAGGAGACGATTGTGGACTACAGGGAAAAAAAAGATGACTGAGCACGCCCCCATTCTCATCGACAAGGCTGTAGTGGAACAGGTTGAGAGCTTCAAGTTCCTTGGTGTCCACATCACCAACAAACTATCATGGTCCAAACACACCAAGACAGTCGTGAAGAGGGCACGACAAAGCCTATTCCCCCTCAGGAGACTGAAAAGATTTGGCATGGGTCCTCAGATCCTCAAAAAATTCTACAGCTGCACCATCGAGAGCATCCTGACTGGTTGCATCACCGCCTGGTATGGGAACTGCTCGGCCTCCGACCGCAAGGCACTACAGAGGGTAGTGCGTACGGCCCAGTACATGACTGGGGCCAAGCTTCCTGCTATCCAGGACCTCTATACAAGGAGGTGTTAGAGGAAGGCCCTAAAATGATCAAAGACTCCAGCCACCCTAGTCATAGACTGTTCCCTCTGCTACCACACGGCAAGCGGTACTGGAGCGCCAAGTCTAGGTCCAAAAGGCTTCTTAACAGCTTCTACCCCCAAGCCACCAAGCCATAAGACTCCTGAACAGCTAATCATGGCTACCCTGACTATTTGCATTGCCCCCCCCACCCCAACCCCCTCTTTTATGCTGCTGCTACTCTGTTTATTATTTATGCATAGTCACTTTAACTCTACCCACATGTACATATTACCACAATTACCTAGACTAACCGGTGCCCCCGCACATTGACTCTGTACTGGTACCCCCTGTATATAGCCTCCCTACTGTTATTGTATTTTACTGCTGCTCTTTAATTATTTTTATGTTTTACTTATCTATTTTTTACCTGACACTTTATTTCTTAAAAACTGAATTGTTGGTTAAGGGCTTGTAAGCATTTCACTGTAATGTCTACACCTGTTGTATTCGGCGCATGTGGCAAATAAAATTTGATGTGATTTGTGTTAACCCACCACCACCATTATCACCAACCTCAAAACACACAAAAAACAGGTTGTGCCCTTACATCCTGTGTAGAACGTGTGCAATAGCCACTCCGCTTGTCAAGTCCTGCTTGCTGGTGCATGAGGGCACCTGAAATGTCTGTAGCTGGAAGGGTTGGACATGAGGAATGAGAAGAACATTTGTTAGTGATTATTTTTATTTAAAAAATAGTCTTCATTTATTCTACTTCACATGACAATCAATGCTACTGCCAATACGTGGGGCAAATTGCCTGCTATTTGGGGTTTTAGGCTGGGTATCTATCACTGACAACTGTTGATAAAAAAGTGCTTTATAAAATACATTTGATTGATTGTGGCTTCTAGAAGTGCTGGAAAGCCATTCTACTTCTGTTTGTCTGTACAGCTAAAGTGTTTGCTAACCACTAAATGATAGACCTCAGCTAGCTATTTAGCTGGCAAGTGGTTTGTAATGCAAGTTAAGAGGTCATTACACATTTCTAGCTAATTTTAAAATAGCCTAACCAACCTATATTTGGAGGGTTCATGGCGGAGTTTTTAAACTTGAGAAAGTCAGCTGGGGGCTAGCTAGGAGAGTGACTTTGGCTTGCTGGGGCTTGGTTAGACCTTTGTACTGATTGCATTAGATAGTGGCTAGCTCAGTTGCTGGCTGGAAACTTTGGAGCTTGTCCACGAAGACAATTTCTGATGTGGACAGTAGACAACCAAAACAATTTAGCTAGCTAGTTAGCACAGTTATCTAACTTTATTTCATAGTGACAGCTAGCTAAGTATGTTTTTTTTAATTTGAGCTGGTTAAAGGCACTATTAACGATCAAATGCCTATCTACGTTTAATTGTTAACACCTAATTTAATATCGCCACCTTTGAGCTACATTTCACTGCTAGCGAGAGGTCGCTTTGGATGACGACTCAGTCTGGCTAGCTTAGGTAGCAAACTATCCCAGTTAACGTTACCTAACTTGGCATTCATATTTAACTTTGTAAAACTTACCCAATTTAGTAACGAATCGCATAGCTTTGCTTTATCCAGACTCATTTTGGTTTGTCTGCTGATACTCTGCAGTTAGCACACTAGCAATCGATTGGGAGACTTTCAGCTTCAAGTTTGTTTTTAGCTTGCACTATCACGTCAGCAAACCTTGGCCTCCTGTTAGCTAGCTTGACTTTCGCGTTTTAGCTCCATAAACCATCCTAGTGAGCCTCCGTATTAAGAACATTGTCATGGCAACAGATGACCCTATTTACTATTTTGGTGACGCAAAAAACGTGTTGTTGTCACAGAGTTTCTAAACCCAGAGACGCACGCAACATCGCGAGACTTCCGGGAACGCTTGCGAAGCAGACCAAGCAGACCAGGTCGGGGTTTGGGCTTTGAGAAGTCAATGAGAGAAGTTACAAATTCTAAAGGCGTAACCTAGATTCGAGCTAATGTCTTAAGTATTTGAACATGTTATTACTCCAACCTCGTGAAAGTGACAAACTGACACGTTTTTATTTTTTATTGCACATGCGAAGTTTGGCGCGAGACGACCGTTACGATGATGTGTTTCTGCGCATGAGCAGATGCCGCGTTCACGTGCTAGTTGGAACTAGAAAACTCAGATATTTCCAACTTACTGATTCGTTGAACGCGGCACTTCTATAACTACAACCATTTAGCAAGTCGGACATTTCCGAGTTTCCTAGTTCCGACTAGTACTTGAACGCGGCACTAGCTGGCCAGCGTCGCCATGACATCGCCTACAAGCGTGATCGGGGAATTCTATTGGAGAAGCAGTTTCTGCCTATCTTCATACTGTACTTACTGTCTTTGTTGTTGTCTCGCATGTCTGTTGCTCAAAACAGAGTGGTATTGTAGAGATAATTTGTAGGTGTTATATTGTGTATGTTTCGAAAATGAGTAAAACCTTTATCATGCTTTTTTGGAATTAAAAAATGAATTTGTTCGAAAGAGGCCCACAAAAGAACAGTAGATGGCTCAAGTTGACAAAATGACACAGAACTGATGAGTACAGGTGTCTCCTTCTAGCGAAACTCAGATCATGTAACTAGCCTAGCAGAAACAAGTACATACATCCATTCTGTTTAGCAATTAAAATAGAAAAACACCATTCCCTCCTATTGATATATTTAAAAAATACGATCTCACTTTGTCAAAATGTGTTTATCTAGTGGCTGTAAAGCAAGGCACATTAATGTATCACAGCAATTAGCCCAATGGTTTCAAAATTATTCCAGTCTCTTAATTCACTATGCCTAAGTGCTGATATATCTAGGCCATCTATTCTAGGCATATGCATAGCTCTCACATTGATCTGACACCTGAGAAATGTGCTTTATCAACTCAATGTGAGAAACGCACACACATACACACACTTATTTTCCTAAGTACTCTATCTCCCTGTCTACACCTCTCCCTTCTCTCTCCAATACTCACAGTTCAACCTGATGTATTTGCCAACTTCCTGTTTGCTCTGGCCAGCCCAACAAGTCAGGCTTCGTCCCCGGCCCGCCCACCGTAGGCTACCTGCTCTCCTAGAACACCTATCTGTGTGACATGTCTGTTTCACTTCCTCTCTCCCAGCTCAATCTGCCTGTCAACTTTGTTTGGTCACTACCGAATAGTAACCATATTTGTCTAAACACCAGAGCCAATGTTCTGTGTAAATGACTGCACATGTTTATCCTCTGTCCATTATAGACTACAACTCTGCCCACCCACCATTTACCAATATAGTCTCTAAAAATGTGTTTAGATGTTATTTAATGTATCCATTATAGAAGTATAATACAATATCCCCATGGTATTTATTCAGGGATATAGTGCATTTGGAAAGTATTCAGACCCCTTGACTTTTTCCACATTTTGTTACGTTACAGCCTTATTCTAAAATTGATTAAATAAAGGACATTAAGAGACTTGTCCCGAAGCTACTCCTGCATTATCTTGGCTGTGTGCTTAGGGTCGTTGTCCTGTTGGAAGGAGAATCATGTTTCTCATGGTGTGAGAGTCCTTTAGGTGCCTTTTGGCAAACTCCAAGCGGGCTGTCATGTGCCTTTTACTGAAGAGTGGCTTCCGTCTGGCCACTCTACCATAAAGGCCTGATTCGTGGAGTGCTGCAGATATGGTTGTCCTTCTGGAAGGTTCTCCCATCTCCACAGAGGAACTCTGGAGCTCTGTCAGTGATTGCTCAGTTTGGCCAGGTGGCCAGCTCTAGGATGCGTCTTGGTGGTTCCAAACTTCTTCCATTTAATAATGATGGAGGCCACTGTGTTCTTGGGGACCTTCAATGCTGCAGACATTTTTTGGTACCCTTCTCCAGATCTGTGCCTCGACACAATCCTGTCTCGGAGCTCTACAGACAATTCCTTCGACCTCATGGCTTAGTTTTTGCTCTGACATGCACTGTCAACTGTGGGACCTTATATAGACAGGTGTGTGCCTTTCCAAATCATGTCCAATCAATTGAATTTACCACAGGTGGACTCCAATCAAGTTGTAGAAACAGCTCAAGGATGTTCAATGGAAACAGGATGCACCTGAGCTCAATTTCGAGTCTCATAGCAAAGGGTCTGAATACTTCTGTAAATAAGTTACATATATAAAAAAAAAATTATACATTTGCAAAAATTTCTAAAAACCTGTTTTTGCTTTGTCATTATGGGTTATTGTGTGTAGATTGCTATGGACATTAAAAAAATGTGGATTAAGTCAAGGAGTCTGAATACTTTCCGAAGGCACTGTATTCACTATAATAATAAAAAAACTATATTTTATAAGAATATGTGTGCCTGCCAGTATGTTAACAAATCAAATGTTCCCCTGTAGGTAGGGTACAGCACTATAGTACTGAGTTTACATGATCCTTTGTGGAAATGGTTTTGACACCTAATAGATTTTCAGTGAGGTATATTTACCAGCTCCCCCTCCCCCACTCCCCACTACCCGACCCCTGTGGGGAACACTACAGGGGTGTGTGTATGTTTGGTTAGAGAGAGGGGGCCGCAGCCTGAATAACCCAGAGTAAGAGTATGAGACCTGGGAGGAAGTGAGGTTCATGGCTGGGGGTCCGGTGGTTTAGTCATCCACTGAGGGAGGGGTCTGCTGACTAACACCGAGTGATGGGATGTGGGCTGGGGGTATTGAGAGGAGGTTGACTATTTTTGTCCCACTCCCCCTCCTTCACTCTAATTCCTCTTTTTACTTGTTCTTTCTTTCCTTATTCCCCAGATGTGTTTCCTTCCTGAAAGTCAGAAAGCAGTACTTCTCCTCTTTTCCGACCCAGTCTGACACACATGCGTCCTCCAGGGAAGTGTGGAGGGGTGGAGGTGGGGAAGTTAAACAGAAAAAGATTGGGTAATTTTTTCAAATGTTGTGGTTTCTTCGGTTGGAAAAACTATTTGGGGAAGGTTCCTTATTCACTCTTCACGGACCTACACGCTTCCCAGTTTCCACATCATAGCCTTTTCAATACAGGTTTCAGCAACTTTATCCATGGCATAGACACACATGTACAGAGCACATGATTCAGAGTTCTTCTGTTGAAGGCTATCATAATGTCATGCTGATCTGGCACTGGTGTATAAGAAGAATAAAGAGCAAACATCTTAGCGCTCAAGTTCTCCTTCATGTAGCCCAGGGATGGGCAACTGCAGTCCTCGGGGGCCAGAGGGGTGTCACACTTTCCCCCCATCCCTAGCAAACACAGCTGATTAAACTAATTGCATTCTAAACTGAAGATCCTGATTAGTTGATTATTGGAGTCAGGTGTCTTAGCAGGGGCTGGGGCAAAAGTATGACACCAATCAGGCCAGTGGACTGGAGTTGCCCATCCCTGAACTTAGCCTATCCCTGCACATGAATTAAGTTTGTGGTTGTGAGAAACAAAAGCACACTGCGCCTTTAAATAAAGGAACACGAACAATCCTCTGCTGTGCCCAGGCATTGGGCGCTTTTATTTGTTGGAATGTTGGCAGGTGTTGGAAATGCAGGAAAACAAAACTAACTGAAAAAGAGGGAATAGAGCAGTGGGGGTGAAAGAGGGAGTGCAGGGTTAGTGAGAGATACGCAGAAGTCCAATTAGAACCCAAGCTCTCTAGACATAAAGTCATCCAGCCTATGTAGGGAGGGAAAAACCTGACTGAGATTTATTGTTCTGTCCTTATCGGCCGTCTCTTCCTCCGCTCTCTAAACAGAGATTTATGGCTTTGGCAATGTCAGGTACTTGATAGCCTCGTCTCAGGAACCAGAGGAGGGAGTGTTCATCACGAAATGCACGCACACAAACACAAGGCGACCCGGCCAAACTGGGTGCCGTGCCACTGACTGTAGGGATGCCTGTAGAACATCGGTCAGGGAGTAGCTAGCCTATACTTTATTATTGTACAGTTTTGCCCTGTCTGGTGACTCAGTGATAGGTCAATGTAGTTTGGACCACTGAAGTTAAGTTAAAGGTTATGTTATATAACAGAGATGAGATGACCCTCAATGTTATTGATATACTGTAGATCTCGCTCTATGCAACAGCCACAACAGACCAACCTCCTATTATAAAGCATGATCCACAGCATCAAACCAAGGACATTAGCATTGGGTAAGACACTGGAGTCAACTAATTGATGTAAGAATACCAGTCTATGGCATCTGGACATTAAAAACTAGGTGGGCCTCATTCGACTCACCTGGTTTTACATTCGGAAAGACAATTTTGGTTGGCTTTGCTGACAGTTTAAGTGTAAGAGTTTGCCCATTCTCTCTCTCTATCTCTCGCACACACACACACACACACACACACACACACACACACACACACACACACACACACACACACACACACACACACACACACACACACACACACACACACACACATACACACACACACACACACACACACAGAAACACTCCCATGCAGAGGCAGCACATAGACAGCGTTGGGTGAGTCACGGTCACCTGGCAGAGAGTGCCTCCCCTTGGGAGAGTCCTTACATGAGTCCCTGTGATTATGGCCAAACCCCCTGAGGGCATCAGGTGGGCCTCCTCTCTGGGCAACGTGAGACCACCACCCATTGTTAGGTCCACAATGGAAATGAACACATACTGAGCTCACTTGAAAGGTGATACAAACACTCTGCAAGATGAAAAGGGTTTAGCAGTGTATATCAATTGATAGCTGATTCTGGCCCAGTTCTGCTCCTT